TCAAAAAATTTCAAGTTCAGAGCTGTCAAAAAATTTCAAGTTCAGAGCTGTCAAAAAATTTCAAGTTCAGAGCTGTCAAAAAATTTCAAGTTCAGAGCTGTCAAAAAATTTCAAGTTCAGAGCTGTCAAAAAATTTCAAGTTCAGAGCTGTCAAAAAATTTCAAGTTCAGAGCTGTCAAAAAATTTCAAGTTCAGAGCTGTCAAAAAATTTCAAGTTCAGAGCTGTCAAAAAATTTCAAGTTCAGAGCTGTCAAAAAATTTCAAGTTCAGAGCTGTCAAAAAATTTCAAGTTCAGAGCTGTCAAAAAATTTCAAGTTCAGAGCTGTCAAAAAATTTCAAGTTCAGAGCTGTCAAAAAATTTCAAGTTCAGAGCTGTCAAAAAATTTCAAGTTCAGAGCTGTCAAAAAATTTCAAGTTCAGAGCTGTCAAAAAATTTCAAGTTCAGAGCTGTCAAAAAATTTCAAGTTCAGAGCTGTCAAAAAATTTCAAGTTCAGAGCTGTCAAAAAATTTCAAGTTCAGAGCTGTCAAAAAATTTCAAGTTCAGAGCTGTCAAAAAATTTCAAGTTCAGAGCTGTCAAAAAATTTCAAGTTCAGAGCTGTCAAAAAAGTTTAAGTTCAGGGCTGTCAAGAAAGTTCAGAGCTATCAAAAGAGTTCAGAGCTGTCAAAAGAGTTCAGAGCTGTCAAAAGAGTTCAGAGCTGTCAAAAGAGTTCAGAGCTGTCAAAAGAGTTCAGAGCTGTCAAAAAAGTTCAAAGCAGTCAAAAAAGTTCAAAGCTGTCAAAAAAGTTCAGAGCTGTCAAAAAAGTTCAGAGCGGTCAAAAAAGTTCAGAGCGGTCAAGAAAGTTCAGAGCGGTCAAAAAAGTTCAGAGCGGTCAAAAAACTTCAGAGCGGTCAAAAAACTTCAGAGCGGTCAAAAAAGTTCAGAGCGGTCAAAAAAGTTCAGAGCGGTCAAAAAAGTTCAGAGCTGTCAAAAATGTTCAGAGCTGTCAAAAAAGTTTAAGTTCAGAGCTGTCAAGAAAGTTCAGAGCTATCAAAAGAGTTCAGAGCTGTCAAAATAGTTCAAAGCTGTCAAAAGAGTTCAGAGCTGTCAAAAGAGTTCAGAGCTGTCAAAAGAGTTCAGAGCTGTCAAAAGAGTTCAGAGCTGTCAAAAGAGTTCAGAGCTGTCAAAAGAGTTCAAAGCTGTCAAAAAAGTTCAGAGCTGTCAAAAAAGTTCAGAGCGGTCAAAAAAGTTCAGAGCGGTCAAGAAAGTTCAGAGCGGTCAAAAAAGTTCAGAGCGGTCAAAAAACTTCAGAGCGGTCAAAAAACTTCAGAGCGGTCAAAAAAGTTCAGAGCGGTCAAAAAAGTTCAGAGCGGTGAAAAAACTTCAGAGCGGTCAAAAAAGTTCAGAGCGGTCAAAAAAGTTCAGAGCGGTCAAAAAAGTTCAGAGCGGTCAAAAAAGTTCAGAGCGGTCAAAAATGTTCAGAGCGGTCAAAAAAGTTCAGAGCTGTCAAAAAAGTTCAGTGCTGTCAAAAAAGTTCAGAGCGGTCAAAAAAGTTCAGAGCGGTCAAAAAAGTTCAGAGCGGTCAAAAAAGTTCAGAGCGGTCAAAAAAGTTCAGAGCGGTCAAAAAAGTTCAGAGCGGTCAAAAAAGTTCAGAGCTGTCAAAAAAGTTCATAGTTTTCAAAAAAAAATCAGTATTTTCAAAAAAAGACATTTTAAAAAAAAAATAATATTAAATTTTTCCAATCGTTTTCAAAATTTTCAAAAAACCTTTAAAAAATCAAAATTCTCAAAAAAATCTAATAAACAGACAAACAAATTGTCCAAATCTTGCTTTTCCCTCATTATTTCCGCAATTAGGGCATCGTGCAAATAACGTTGCCCTAAAAAGGCAAATTACTGGAACTTCGCATACCGCAATTCGAAATTCAAGTAATTAAAAATTATCAATAATAATCAATAAAAGTTGATCAATGATTTGAAACTTTTAATGGAATTTCGAACCATACTTGAACCATATTCGTACCATCATGCGCAAAAACATACCGTGTTGAAATAAAAACGTAATTTCTGAAATTTGTTAAATATTCAAGTATCGGCATTTTCATTTCACGGCATGATCATTTTTTGCACCCTCTGCTCCAACAAACTCGTGTTAAAATGACAGCGCGACCGCGCTTCGTACCTGTTCTAGAGACAAAATATCAATATCGTTTTGGTGCTACGCGATAGCGCGCGTAGCACTATAACAATATGATTTGTATTCATTATTAAAATTTATATAAAATATCTGATACCCTGATGTGCATATGTCTAATGTTCATTTTTGACCGCCAAATGGCTCATTTTTTTTACTTTTTCTTCCATATCTCCAAAGTCTTTGGACCTGCCTTTCCAAAATTTTGAACAGTTTGTCAATACAAATAAAATGTTTTTTGAATTATTCAAATCGGACGCTCCGTTCTCTTAAAAACTGAGTTACCGTTTTCGGCACTTTTTACCGCGTACCTTCGGAACGGCTAGACCTGCCTTCGCCAAAAACTAATCTGCGTGTCTCCTTATCAATACGAATCGAATGCTTTTTGAATTATTCAAATCGGTTTATCTGTGTTCCCAAAATCGTCGACGAAAATTTGTATCCGCACATACATATATACACGCACACATACACACACTTATCCTCCCCCCACGAAGTAATGCCTAACGGCGGTTTCCGTGGAGACCAGTGGCAAGGGCAAAGCGGAGGTTTTAGTCGGTATTATACCAGGGCGGTATCGAGTCCGACATACCCAGACAGAAGACCGGTCTGGGATGCATAAAGGCATTTCCTTCGCTATACAAAAAAAAATAACACACACACATACATACATCCATTTTTTCTAAAGTATTCCAAAATGTTCAGAAGGTTTTGAAACAAATTTAAACAATTTTCATTTTCGATTTTTTTACGATTACTATAACTTGCCCTACGGGAAGTTAAAAAATTTATATATTCATTTATTCACCCTAAAACGTATAATTATATATAAGATTTTAGAAAAATTTCAAAACCCATATTTTTAGTGTTTTTTAAATTATCAGTGAATACTTTTTTATATATTGAGAATCGTTAATAATTTACTTAACGATAAAAAGCAGACTTGATGTCATATATACATTTAATTTTCAGAGTAAACATCTGATTTAATAATGAATCATTCGGTTTTATGAATCAGTATAACCTACAGAAATTATTTCAACATTAATTTGATAAATTTTCACAGAACCTCGGGAGATAAGTATTATATGTAAATATAAAAAACCCGAGGTTTTCTATGTTGTCATTGTCAATCTAATAAAATATTTTAAAAAATATTATTAATCATCATCAGCGCATTAAAATTTAAATCACGGCATGAAAATAATATTTATACCAAATATTATATAGATAAACTAATTAATGAAAAAGAATTTCTAAAATTGACTTAATATGTATACTAAACATAATAATACTTTTAAAAGATAAAAATTCTTAGTTTAAGTAAAAAGTTCAGATATAAATCTTAAATGTTTTAGAATAAATTTTCAATAATATATCATTTAAAGCCTATTGTCAGGCGGTAGTGACAATAATACCTAAAATACATTTTTAAAATTTTCGAAATATTTTCCATGTTATTTCTATACAAAGCTTTGATTGAATTGCGCACTATCTAAACGTTAATATTAAGATCTAAAACTTTTAGAGATTTTTTTTCATCAATTTGGAAGCATTTAAGCACATGGGAGCAATAAAATTCGAAAACGTCCATATTAAAGACCACCCTAATATATGTATATAAATCAAAGTAAAGGATTACTATTTCAATTGAGCTTAAGCAATAATTAATATGCAATTTTGACAATATTTCTTTTAACCTAATTTCAAATAATTATTATTCCGAAACGAAGTAATAGTTTTCTTATATTCCAATTAATTCGTGCTATATATACTAATTATGTAAATAAAAGTTCACTGCATTATTTTTTCACTAACTTTTTTTTTCATCCTAGCTTTAATTTACTGTAACTTAGAATTTTATGAGATGAAGTTAGTGAAAAAAATAAGATGTTGTGTGTTTTTATTTACATAATAAATATTTGTTACAATATTAATATTTGTTAATGCAAAATTCTACTATTTTTTTCTCTAACTTTATTCTCTAGCTTTTAAGTTACAGTAACTTAGAATTTTATGAGAGATAAAGTAGTTAAAAAAAATAAGATGTTGTATGTTCTTCAAATAATTATTATTCCGAAACGAAGTAATAGTTTTCTTATATTCCAATTAATTCGTGCTATATATACTAATTATGTAAATAAAAGTTCACTGCATTATTTTTTCACTAACTTTTTTTTTCATCCTAGCTTTAATTTACTGTAACTTAGAATTTTATGAGATGAAGTTAGTGAAAAAAATAAGATGTTGTGTGTTTTTATTTACATAATAAATATTTGTTACAATTATTAATATTTGTTAATGCAAAATTCTACTATTTTTTCTCTAACTTTATTCTCTAGCTTTAAGTTACAGTAACTTAGAATTTTATGAGATAAAGTTAGTAAAAAAATAAGATGTTGTATGTTCTTATTTACATATTAAATATTTGTTACAATTATTAATATTTGTTAATGCAAAATTCTACTATTTTTCTCTAACTTTATTCTCTAGCTTTAAGTTACAGTAACTTAGAATTTTATGAGATAAAGTTAGTAAAAAAATAAGATGTTGTATGTTCTTATTTACATATTAAATATTTGTTACAATTATTAATATTTGTTAATGCAAAATTCTACTATTTTCTCTAACTTTATTCTCTAGCTTTAAGTTACAGTAACTTAGAATTTTGTGAGATAAAGATAGTAAAAAAATAAGATGTTGTGTGTTCTTATTTACATAATAAATATTTGTTACAATTATTAATAATTAATAATATAAAATTCTACTATTTTTTATACAAAATTCTACTATTTTTTATATAAAATTCTAATGGTTGCCACTTACCAAGAACAAAGAATTAAAGAGCGCCAAAAAGTAGTTCACATTTTCCTTCTTGAGCCTCATTTTTGTAATTCTTATACTAACATATCACAAAACTGAACTATTTTAAATCATTTTTTTAACACCTACACACGAATTTAATATATTATCACTTACATTATTGCACTTTTGAGTAACACTTATTTTTTATTTAAAAAAGTGGCAGTCTAGTTGTTAACATTTATTTTAAAAAATCGATATCGATGGTCTCGAGTCGAGGGTTCGACGAGCACTGAATCAAATACGAGCAAAACATTAGTTTATTTAAAATTCTTAATTACAAAACAGGAAGGAAGGAAACACACGGCACGGCGCAGTGCGGCCAACTATAACTATTACACTGGATACCAACAGTAACGGACTTAGAAATAGAAATACATTTGACCCTTAAAAAAAATCAATAAAAAAAATTATAAAAAAGATAAATTTTCCTAACAGAGGTATAAAGTGATTTAAATTTACCAAAATATTACTACTTTAAATTTAAATATCTTTAAAAAAATTATATCTATTAATTTACTAACATAAATATTTCGAATAGAAGTATAAATTGATTTGGTTTTACTAAAATATTACTAGTAAAATTAAATTTTGTTATTATGAAATAAATTTATTTTATTCTACTAACTGCAAGCCGGTAGGCAAGAATGTTCTATAATTAAGTTTTTATTTTTTTATGTTTTTTGCGATTTATATTTAGCCCTTATATGTTTCCAAGTGTAAATAGCCCTTGTCCTGCACAATATTAAGGAACAGGGCAAACTATTCTTCTGATTCAAGCTTTTTTTATTAAATCAAGATTTGTACTACGATGTAACTTTAAAATATTTATTTATCTATGCCGATTTCCTTGTTGATATCGGTACGCATACAACGTTGATGCCGCTACGCATACAACGACAGATCTAAAAACTCTAAAAAATAAATTATCATTTCAAAAATTCAACCAGCTTTTTTGCATTTTAAAAGTAATATGAAAAAAATAGTTCTATCCCGTAAAATATACAAATACTTTGTGTGTAAAATTAGAAAATGAGTTTAAAAACAGTCGCCTGTACCACACGCGTTGAATAAGCTGTTTTGTAAAACGGTTAAAACTTGAAATCAAAGTCTCCTTAACTTTGTAAAACAAATTTCTTATTCACTTTATTGTATGGTTTAAAATAAATTTTAACTAGCGGGGTGTAAGGCATCGTGCCTTCAGGCAAATTGCTGGAACTTCCCGTACCGTAACGAAATGTTCGAGGGATACTGAATGTTTTCAAATAGATTATTATTATTTAATTGTCTAATATTTATAAGAATTATATAAACTAAATTGCAAAGTTGAACTTATTTGTTTAAAGTATATTAGAACTATAGTCAGAATTAAAAATAAAATCTGAATTATTTTCGATATACAAAAAAAGTTGAAACAAAATTTTTTTTTCTAAAATCAATTATTTTGTTAAGGCAAGCAGAAAGTTTTTTGAATCATTTAAATCGGACGTTTAGTTCTCTCAAAAACAGCAATTTTTTACATATTTCGCTCCGTATCTTCGAAATGGCTGGGCCTGCCTTTGCTAAAAACTAATAAACACTTCTCCCAATCATTACTAATTGAATGTTTTTTAGGTTATTTAAATCGGATACTCCGTTCTCTGAAAAACTCGATTTCTATTTTCTGCACACGTTGCTCCGAAAAATGTAAAAAATTTCAATTTCGAATTTTGGCCCATTACAATTACTTACCCTACGGGAAGTTAATAATTAGATTTTATTATCGATAAATCATTTATTCTTAATTTATTTAAAGATAAACTTGTAACATGATGTACAAAATTTGTACACCATGTTACAAGTTGTACTACAAATTATATTAAATATTTTATTATAAAGAATTTTTAACTTACCGAAAAGGAATTTCATGTCTTCGTCAGAAAATCCGATTTGCCAAATTTATATTTTTTCGACGTTTCATGCCATTCCGATTTGTTTGATACCTAAATTATAAAAAAAACATGTGAGTGTACTGGAAAAAAATTGAAAATTCGTCGATCTCAAGAAATGCTTCATCAATTAAAAAAATTAAGGTAAAATTCGATTAGAAGTGAGCTACACTTTAAAAAGTTAAAATTTTGTCTTTGATATGAAATCGTAAAACTTTCTATTATTATTTGTACAAAGATAATTGAAGGTATCAAGTTTTTACTATAATATAAAAATAATGTAAAAAGAAATCTATTACCATATATCACCCAAGTTCGTGACTGTAATCGTGTACTATGTGGCTTACTGTTGGAGAGGTCACGTTCGGATGATTCGCAGCAGACAAGGGTCACGCTCCATGAATTACTGACACTAACACCATTGTAAGCTTACCTATCACATTTTTTTAACACAATCGCACTACATCATACACAAATGTATGAAAATTATAACAGTGGTGGAAAAATAAAAAAAATTAAAAAATATTTTTTTAGAACACGATGCACCTACTACTTTGTGAAGACCAAACCATCTTCGACATTGATCACATATGTATGACAATAGACATATATATGTATATTATACTGCGCGGTTTTACATTTTGTTACAAGTAAGTGAATAAAATTCACAGTTTAATAAAATAAACTAGTCAACAAGTTTGACTCTTCAAAATAATATATAATATCCATTAGAGGCAGTTTAGAGAATTTGTTATTTGAATTTTACATATTGGCAAAACGACACCAAAAAGGTCTATGCGATCCAATTTCGACTTCAGTCTTTCACAATCGTTTTCATATTTGGCTCAATAGAGTATAGAGAAAATTGTCAACTAAAATTGTATATTGTTAAGTCAGAAGTAATCAATATAGATCATATTGACCTATTTCTATTTGATGTAATTCATCATTAAAATTCCACAAATATTGATCATTTTTAGTAGATGCAGCCATAGATAAAAAAGATATAAATGATGCCAGGGAAGATCTATTTTGACTTGAAAACATAGTGATACCAGACTTCACTTACAAATATAAATGCATTTATATTTGTAAGTGAAATCCGGTATCACTACTGTTTGATATCAGGCAGTCTGAGTTAGGTATCAATCTTGATATCTTCTGGTTTAAGAATCAAAGCTATTACCTTTATACCAAGGAAGTTCTATGGAATATATGGTACAAATATTTTCTTCTTTAGTTTGCCTTCACTGCTCTAGAAACGAAAGTCTGCGTAAGAGCGTTAATAATTATTGAATTCTAATTTTTGTTATAAAATATCTCAGCATAATATATTATAACTAATACTTAATTTTTAACGAGCCTATTAGGCGGTCGCTCATGAAACAAAATTTATATCTGCTAAAAGTTGACTTGAAATTTCGAAAAAGTAAAATAATTTACTAAATAAAATTTACTAAATAAAATTATTTTGAAAAAGTAATCTACAAAAGTAGAACTATACCAAAAATAATCAGCATAACATTAATATGCATACACATATATACATGCATATATGTATATATGTGGGTGAGTGTGTGTGGGGGTGTGTGTGTGTGAACATGTACAATGAAGAACATCGTTGATATAATTAATTGCAAACATTAAAGAGATGGTCAGTTAAAACGTCTATTAAAATTGGCGAGAGGTCACACATCCTATGTGTAAGCTAGATAATACATTCTGATACAAACGCACAGGTCCAACATTCTGGAAACTTTTTAAAAAATATGCTCAATTAAAATAAAAATGTTTTTTTTTACATATATAAATGAATATATAGACAGGGTGTCCCAGAACTCAACGTCAAGCAACGTTGTCAATCAAAGATTCACTGTAATAATCCAGTCATTTAAGCTTATATTAGGTAAGAATCTCGGAATTCGAGATACCCCAGCTGAAGGTCTGTAAATACTTGTATATTTACACCCTAAAAGTTGTCTCAAGACTACATATGGTACGTATCCTACCAAATGTAGGTTTTGAGACAACTTTTAGGGTGTATTTGCCGTATTTATAGATTATTTACAGATTTACACCTGGGTATCTCTAATTCCGAGGTGAACTTACTATAATGACTGGACTATAACTGCCAAGAGAAAAATCAGAAAAAAATTATTCCCAGTTAACTAAGATTTAGTCATTTTTTATTTAGTAATTTACTATGTTTTGGGCAGAATATGATTTTTTCAGTATTTGGTCTTAGCAATAAATGTTTCATTTATTTTTATTATAAATAAAAAAACTGTGTAGAACGAATTAATAGCATTTCAATGTAATTATATAAAAAAAGTTGCTTCGAGATACGAACAATTCGACATGAGCGTACTTTTGGAATGAATTAAGCTCGTAAGGCGGGGTACCACTGTATATATTTTCCATGCGTAACCGAACAGTGCCCAAAAAAAGTTAATGTCATCAAATCGGAACCGGAAACTATGCAGTCACAAATTTTAAAACGGATATTTACTAATAGTGTTATTGGAAGCATTGTCAATACAATAATAAAAACAAAAATATTTTTTATATATGTATTAACAATATAAATACTGTATAAAAGTAAAAAACATTATCATAAATATATTTTATATATACCAATTAATATATAATTCTTATTTATAATTTATATAATATGTCAATATTTTTTTAAATATGTGTAGGTACTTTTTATATTTACATATCAATAGTAGTAGTAATAGTGTTATAAAATTTACTCTCTTGAATATTATAAAAACATAAATGCTATATGATTTACTCAAATAATTAGTTTTTTAATTATTTATAGCATCTTTTTTGATAAATAACAAACTAATTTATGCTAATTTAGTCATTAATCTTACTTTTGTAAGATGTATCTTTTTTAGTTAATTTATTTTGTATTTATTAATAATTTTATTAAATTTTAATACTTTTTATTTTGAACACTTCAGTTTTATTAGGATAAAAATAATTGCACATTGTTTATTAAGATAAAGCATTATCGAAATTGAATACTGCAATAAGTAAGATCATGATTATACTCGCAAGAGTCTAAATAAACTAATTACGATAAATATAATTTGTAATTTATATGTATATATTTAAATAACAGTCTTAGAATAATTATAAATGCAGTTAAAATATGTTTATATATATCGTTTTTGCCAATAAGATAATACTTTCTAATATTTGCTCAATTCTATGAACAAATCGTATTAAAATTATAACATAGATTATGATTAGAAAATCAATACTATTTGACTATACAGCTTAGATATGTATATATAATAAATTATATATATAATAAATTATATATATATATATATATATATATATATATAATGTTATATGGAGTAGTTTTTACTCATATAGGCTATATTTAGTTGCGATATTAACTCTTAGTAATATTTTATTTCCGAAAAGAAATATGAAATAAATGTTCAGATTGAACCTGAATATAACGCTTCCACAAGAACAAGTTACTACTAACGCAAGTAAATTTAAATTGAATTTTGGGAAAAAAAACTGATCACCTAGAATCAATTGAACCATTCTGACCAACCTTGTTGCTGGAATCCATCTTACCGGCAGTGATGCGATGTTGTAGTGTCGCAAGAAGTCCTGATAAGGCGTCGTGATTAGGTAACTTCTTTGCAAATAAAAGTCTCTTCACGGAATCGTCGTAGGTTAACAACTCTACCATGTTTTGGAGAAGGTAACCTTGGCAGTATTGCAAGAGATGTAGGGCATTGTACACCTTAAAGAGTCATTGAACATCCAAATTTCAGTCATTGGATTTAGGGATTGACTATAAGAAAATTTTATCTTCTGTACAGTAACAGGCCTGTAACTGTAACTGTAACTGTACTTACCTTGGAATGTATATACATAGCAACCACATTTTCAGTGTCTAATAATGCTGAACATCTAGCTTCTGTATAACGGAGCAATGGTCCTAATTGGAAGAAACTTGGCTGCTGCCATTAGTTCCAGAAGGTCGCGCGGAGCAGTTGCTTGCGTCAGGCAAGCTCCTGATCCGGAATAAAGGTATTCCATCACCAACTGGAAGGTAACAAAATTTTCAAAATCGTACATAAATATTACTTAAATATTTGGTGTAGAGTTCATAATAAATTTTTCACAATTGTTTCAGCAGTAAGTTATAAACCAAATCAACCAATTTTGAAATTAGAACAATAATGTATTTCCTTACTTGAAATACTCCATATCTTATGTCATTAATTTGTACTGTAGGCGGAGATCCATCACTTGTGCTAATTTTTGAACTAAGCATAGCACGCAAACGTGGAGAAGCAGTTACTAAAACTATTTTGTGTCCATAGAAAATACGTCCTTCAACTCTGTGAAAAAACATATACAGGATGTAGTGGTAGAAGTTATAGTACCTACTCGTATTTAGAAATTTTAAACTTAACTTAGTTTTCTTTTAATATTTCTTTTTATATTAAAAATATTCTAACAAAGTCCGAAGTAAAACACTACATTACTTTACTATATTTACATAATTATTATACAAAACTATATTTCTTAAGTAATAATTCGCAAATATGCATAATAATATAGTAGGTATGCAAGTTTGTTATGCAATTATCCTGAGCATCGATCCATGATGCCCTAATTATATTATATAACGGCAAATGAATTCAGGAAGTAACAAATTCAGCAAATCTATTTATTTCTAAATATTTAAAAATAAACATAAATCAATGTAAGTACCTCAAAAATAATTTTACCTGAATACGACATCGCTAAGTTCAGGATTATTTACAAACGATGGATCAATTCTAGATGCTGCTGTGCTTCCCGAATTGGATGGTTCTTCTTCTATAGGAGGTATCGGTGCTTTTCCATATATGGTGCTGAATATATCAGCAAGCAATAACATAGTACTTTCCTTCTAAAATAATGAGAAGAAAGACAACAAATTGAAAACCCTTTAAACTCTGATATGATTCAAATAATTGAAATGCTATCATATTTCTTACTTTTCCTGCTCTAAATACAGCAAAAAGCAATGGTAGACAATCTTGTGCCAGTTGTTGCATTTGCTGTTTATCTTCAGGGAGCAGTTGTATAAAATCTCTCAAGAGTTGAGAACATGCACCTTCAGAGCGCGCCTCGTGTGCCGAAGAAAGCGATAATGTCCAACTGTGCAACGTCCATGGTGCACCAAGAACTCGTAGTTCCATCGTAATATCTATAATTTAAAACATACTTGAACCAATTTTTTCTACCTCCTTTTATAAAGTTCAACGTAACTTCGAAACATATTTAAATTATGTTTTCTAATTCTAATTATTTGAGTCAACCCAAAATTTCATTGACAATGATCGAATATCAATATTACATCAAATATTAAATTTGCATATCAATAGAAGTATTTTACCAAGATGATCGTTTTCGGCGCTATGATACATAGCTTCCTGCAAAGCTCGAAGTCTGCGCTTGTTACCGCCAGTGTCTGTAGGCGAAGCAGATTGTTGCTGCTGCATCTGCTGATGACCTTCAGCTAACATTTCCTGCAAGCTCAGAACTTCTCTACGTGCAGGCGCACCAGGATGCCGTAATAAACGAAGTAAAGTCGCGCGTTTACCGTGACAAGCTGCTACCGAAACGGCACTGTAAAATAGAAAAATAAATTTAAATTTAGTTTATATTGAACATATTTATGTCTATGTCCAAAAAGCCAAAAGCTAAGATAATTATTTCTTAACCTGTAGCATCCTCTTTGAGCAGAACCAGAATAGCACAATGTGTCAGTAGGCAAGGTCGACAGAAAGCAGTTGGCACCATGTTGAAGTAGCAAAGATACAATATCTATATGACCAGAACCGCAAGCAACCTTGTATCAAAAAATTGCAAATTATTATTACAAAATATAAATATGGTTCTTGGATATGGTAAATGTAATACCTGTAATGGTGTTAGGGCTCCTCTGTCCTCGGTAATTCCTGCGCCGCCCTCTACGCATGCTCCTCTCTCTAACAAAATTACTGCAGAAGAAGTTCTACCAAGACAACAGGCAAAAGTAAGAGCAGTCCAATAGCGAGCTACTGGATGAGCACCTGGAAATGAAGGCCCAGGTGCTGGAGTTTCCACATCTATATCGGCGCCAGCATCTAATAAAACCTAATCGCAGAAAAAAGTCAAGAAGGCGTTTAGAAATTTTTCTTTTATCATAAAAATAATTCGAATACAATTTTTAGTAATTTTTACTTGAATAGCCTTATCATCTTCTCTGCAAACGGCCAACATCAAGGCTGTCCTGCCTTCATAATCCATTACATTTAGACCCTTAGGTCTTTGCTGGGGTGGCAATAAATTTAAACCCTGGTCAATATGTTCTGATCTGCCTGATGACAAAAGTTGTATGGCCAGATGCAGACATGCCCTTCTAGCAGCTTCATTTGATAGGTCTGCAGTCGTCGAAGCTGCTTGGATAGGTTCCGGTAAACTAATAATTGAAAATAGTTGATAAGGTTATTTTCAGAAATATTAATTAACGTCTTAGATATAAGTGATAACTCATATCCACATATTCATAAACCATGGAATTTATGTAATGATATATAATTATGTTAAGATATTTTATAATTTTTTTTTCATTTTGAATAGTTTTCAACTTCTTACTTCACCCAATATTGTTTACAAACCTTAAAGGTCTTGGAGGACAATCAACCCCAGGCAGCAATAATCGCGCAGCTTGCAGAACATCATCTGCATCTACACTCAAGGCATGTCTGTGCTCAGCATGGGTTCCAGCAACTCGTAACCATTCACCCAAAGGTGGTAAAACAGCATATGCGCGTTCATGGGCTAAATCCTGCTGTATAGAGGGTGGAGCAGGATATTGCTTTTCTTGAATCCTTTCTTGATTTTGTTGTTGCTGTTGCTGTTGTTGTTGAATTGTAGGTAAATTTGTAATTTGAGAAACTGATGAAGAATTCATAACCTGTGCAGCAGCATTTGCATGACAAACACCAGATGACGATCGATCTGAATTGAAATTTTTAGAAAAAGGTTATTTTATAAAAGACTGTATAAAATACTTCTCGTATGCACATCGATTATTTTACCATTAGGATGTTGAGATGACATAATCATTCCTTGAGACACGTCGCCAGAAGTTCTATTTTCTAGTTGGGAACATCTCATAAAGTAAAATAAAGCTCTGATAGCGCAAGGTCCCAGTGGTAAGCAACCAGGTCGCTGAGCTCTATTGGCCAGTTGCGTTAATTCTCTTGCCGATCCTACGCAAGTCGTCAATAAACAAGGCTCTGAAGAAGCTCCACAAGGTAAAGAAAGCGTACCTGAATGAAAATAATATCTTGAGGACTTCTTAAACAATAAAACACCAAGACCAGCCATTTTGTATCGATTGATTTTTTATTCAATTTTTTTAACTTCCCGTAGGGTAAGTTATTGTAATGGGCCGAAAATCGGAATTGAAAATTTTTACATTTCTCGACGTTTTGAAGGTTTCTGAACGTTTTGGCATACCTCAGAAAAAATGGATGTGTGTGTGTGTGTGTGTGTGTGTGTGGGTGGTGTGTATGTATGTATGGATACAAATTTTCGTCCACGTTTTCGGGCGTACGGATCAACCGATTTGAATGGTTTAAAAAACATTCGATTCCTATTAATAAGGAGAAGAGCTGATTAGTTTTTGGCAAAGACAGGTCCAGCAGTTACGGAGATAAGGAGCAAAGAGTGCAGAAAATAGAAATCGAGTTTTTGAGAGAACGGAGCATCCGATTTGAATGATCTAAAAAACATTCCATTAGTAATGATTGGGAGAAAAGGTTATTAGTTTTTCGCAAAGGCAGGCCCAGCCATTTCGGAGATACAGAGCTAAATGTACAAAAAATGGCAGTTTTTGAGAGAACTAAGCGTCCGATTCAATTGATTCAAAGAACTTTCTGCTTGTCTTAACAAAATAATTAATTTTGGAAAAAAAAATTTAGTACCATTTTTTTTTTTTTTTTTTTTTTTTTTTTAATTTTTTGTATATCGAAAATAATTCAGATTTTATTTTTAATTCTGACTATAGTTCTAATATACTTTAAACAAATAATTTCAACTCTGCAATTCAGTTTATATAATTATTATAAATATTAGACAATAATACAATATTTATAATAATCTATTTGAAAACATTCAATATTCCTCGAACGTTTCGTTACGGTACGGGAAGTTCCAGCAATTTGCCTTAAGGCACGATGCCACCCACCCCACTAGTTTTGCAATTGTTGCGTTTTTCAGTAATACTGACCGTTTGCTATTCTACCCGCATTGAGATGAGCATAAGGTTGCAATAATCCCCAAAGTTCACTCCGACTGGCGACAGCCTGCTCTAAACCTACCGGTGTCAGAGGTGGAGCACCTTGTGGAGGTAAACACAACAATAATGATTCTTCTATAAGGTTTTCTAAGCCAGCACATAAATATACAGCTGCATACCTACAACAAAATACGTTAAATAAATAAATAAAAGAACAAGATGAATTACATATCAATTTTAATATTTGTAACATTATAAGAATGTAATATAAAATATGTATAAGTACGTGAATAAATTATACTCACTCATGAACAAAATTTGCAAGTCGAACATCTGTCATCCACCTTTGAAATTTTCCAATGTTAAGCAGTAGACCTGCTCTGGATGACTTGCTTCGACGTGGAGCACCAGCATCTCCAGGAGCAGCAAACATTGCGGCAGCTCGCTGACATGCCTGAATGATAAAACAAAATCAATATATATATATATATATATATATATATATATTTCTATATCACATAAAATACGAAATACCTTAATGCAAGAATCCGCAAGTGAGGGCGTCAAAACAATCCTCATTGCCGCAGCAATTTCGTGTCTAGAACAAAACCCTAAAGCAGCAGCTAAACGTTGAGATTCCCGAGCTATTCGTACCAAAGCGCGTTGGAGCAGCTGTGCCAACCTCGGTACTGCTTCTGGAGCAAGGCGGTCACTATGTGGTCTACATCGGCCATGGCGAATTAATCGGCCAATACAACGTGCAGACCATGGAGCTCTATGCAGTTCTACCAACCTGTAAAAATGGTTATATAGACGTAGATATATTCATAAAAAATAGTCTTGAATTTTAAAATTATGACGATTAAATTATTTCCTGTCTCCAAAATGTTTTTAATAATACCTGTTATGAGAATCCACCCAAACAAATTCGTCAGCACCAGTAGCGCTGGTATCCACTGTCTCCAAAGATGAAGAATGTCTAGCGAGTAATCCGCCTGCAGGATTATGCAAAGCTTCGGATGAACTTTCAGACCCCACACTGGTAGCAGAACTGTAAGCTGAAGGTGGTACTCGTTGCCCATGTTTCAAATGTTGTAAATTATGTTGTTGCTGTGACTGAAGATGTTGTTGTTGCTGCTGCGACGTGCGAGTTGTAAGTTGTTGCAGAGCTGACTGTATATCCTGGACACGAGACCCACCGTGCCAAGGTGGGGCTGCAGTTGGTGGAGCCTATTAAAATTATGTATTAACGTATAATTCTATTAAGTCTAGTTTATATTAAATATTTCTAGCGATCCCAAAATTTAAAAGCTGTATTGCAAAAACTTAGTTTTTCATTCAAAATGCAATATTTTTTTATATTGTTAATTACACTTATAAAATGTAAAGTAATTTACAAATATTTATATAAGTATTCTTGTGTAATGTAATCGAATGAATTAAGTTTGCACAGTTTTATCAAAATGATAATACATAGAAGTGTTCGAAATATGATCTTCATATCACATTGTATCATAATTGTACAAATATGTACTCAATCGTAAATATTAATGTATTATCAGTCCAAGTATATTTACTATCGTTTTTAAAGCAGACATAGTAATAATATTAAAAATACATATATATTATGAAATTATTATTATGAATTTCACAATCATAAACATAGAAAAGGAAAAATACTGAGAGGTAACTGGGATATAATTGTAACGTCTTATTTTTCTCAAAATAACGAGTGATTTACCTTATTAGGAACTCTATGCCTTGGTCGACCATATTGTCCTCTGACATTGTTACGTTGCGTGACTCCAGCCGAAAACCTTGAATCTTCTGGCACCGCATTCAGAGATTGTTCATGCTGGTTATTGAAATCTTGCTCTCCTGATGTATTGACACCTAAACCTTAATTTGAATAGTTTGAAATTTATTAATTATATATATAAAATAAAATTATAAAATAAAATTATTAATTATTCAAAATAGTAATGTGTAAACTTGCCAGAATGCGGAGATGACGAACTAGCTCTTCCTGTCGTGTCCGACATAGAAGCATGCCCAGAAGATCGATTTTCATCTGACGATGATGGGTAGTCTCTGACACGCTTAAATTGTACATTTTATTAGTAAATATTTTTAACTCTTCAGAAAATATTAGTTATCTACCTGCTGAACATCATTATTATAAGAATTCGGTCTTTCTAAAGATTCTGCAAAAGCTGGCTGCGACCTAACCGGTCCACTGTGTGCTGCCAACCTCACTGGACCTAAAACTGCACGCTGGCATGATGATAAAGCTCGTCCTGGACCTAAAATATTAGTTAATATAGTTATAGTTAAATTGTTCACAAGGTAAAAGATATTTATCAAAAGTCAGTATTGGATACAAAAAATACTGCTTAGATGTAATTAAGTCAGCAAGAAAAAAATTTCTGCATAGATGGATTTACAAGTTTTTTTTTTTTTGATTTATTTTTCATAGCAAGCTATACAAAGTACATTCAGCTACATTTGTTACACTTATTTGACTGGGTGAGAAGGATCGCTATCCTGCGATAGCGCCTTCATAAATGTTATGTTATATTTTGTAGTAAATCATCATTGCAGATTCTTTTTTGAGACGCTTTGGTGGTAAAGGCTTGAGCAGATCTAACGCTAAAACGTTTGGATGATAACTTATTTACAAGTAACACTAAAAACTAATTTTATATTTTGTGTTCAACATATTTATATCCACTAATTAAACTACTTCGATCACTTTGAGAAAATAAAATATAATTAAAAAAAACTTATATTTTACCGGAATCTCTTTCTGGTATCATAACATCGTTGCTACGTGTTGGAGTTACAGGTACAGCTGATGAAGGTGATCGCTCCTGAGGAGCTTGCGGAACTTCTGCTACTTCCTTCAACATAAAAAATAACTTAGTATTTTACATTAATTATATGAATTTTAATTTGTTTTCTGTATTGTTTAAAATTACCTTGACAATTTTGCAAGCAGGACCACTTGTAGCTGGCATATACACACGTCCTGATTGTGTTGGACTCTCATGATGTGAGGAGTTGTTGACTAAGGTTGGGGTTGTAGAATATGTAAGTTCTGATCGGGAAGGTCTGGAATATATATTTGAATTTAAATATCGACTTAAGATAAATAAAATAATAGCATAAAAAATCATGAATCATGAATTATGAATATAAGTTAAAACTTTTTTCCAATAAGACAATTAAGTACAAATTAGACCATGAACAAATGATTGAATATAGGCATGAATATCTATATTTTCATCTTAGCGCTTGCTTGACAGGTTACTATTGACTTCTAGAATAAACATGCCTATAATATAGGAAAACTAGAACTAATAATAATAAATTGCCCATAATTGCATACAATTACCAAACGTACATTGTATAAATTTTAGTATAAACTTTGCTTTACTGTATTTTTATCATTAGTGCTTTGTATTTGAAAAAATGGGGGCCGCCATTTTACCTAGCTCGCCATTCCTGAACAAAACTCCAATCCGAATAATAATCCAATCGCTCATACTCATAATCATCACCATAAGCATCACCTCGCTCATTTTCAGCCTCACAAGAACCTCTCTCAATATCCGCCACTAAACGGGAAGCACACTCATAATTATCTTCAAAATTAACATCTATTACACCATCATCGACTTCTTGGTAAATATGATCATCCGCTAACATAGTATTTCTTTCTTTCCGTTTCAAATACAACATGGCGGTTTCCTCTAACAAGCGGCGCGCGTGCGCTTCCGTTTCCGATGTCAATTCATCATTAGAGTTCGAGATTTCTCCGCTCTCTATGGCGGTGTCGCTACTGCTGCCGCAATGCTTGCGGGCTGGTTTTGGTGGTATCTTTGGTTTTGGGCAACGTATTTGGTCTAGATTTGTGCAGGATGTTTCAGTTATTTTCGCAGAGGTATCGCCGAAATAAATTACCACTTTATGGCGTTGGTCATTAGCTTTGAGAACTTGATTCTCCATGATAATTGATTGATATTTTATAAAGCAAATTCACATGTTTTTACTAGAAAATTAATTTAAGTATCGATTCAAAATAAACTTAATGCAGTTTATAATTTTAATAGTGCTTAGATGGAAATTACTCTAAAGATAGAAGGTTTTGTTAGAATTTTCTATGGAACTCATATTTATGATTTTTTTCATTAATAAACTTCAATAAACCTTTAAATAAAGTTATAAAATATTATATGAAACTAATTATATTAATTGCGCAACATTAGTATTCGTTTTTTAGAAAAATAAAGTCCATAGAGAACATAAATAAGATAAATAAATAGCAAACACATCCTCTATGACATTACATCAATTTTAATTATTACCGCACTCCATAGGAGCACCACTAATGGTAGCACGTAAATTTCAGGTTCCCTAGGTTCAGTTCTAGATAAGATTTATGATATATAAAAAATAACCCTGATTAATAACAAATAAAATGAGCAAAAATATACACGTATTAAATATATTTCCAGCTAAATCAGAAAATTGTTTTCCCAAAAATATATAGTATAAAAATTATAAAAAATGTAATAAAAAAATATACAGTATTAAATATATTTTCAACTAAGTCTGAAATATGTTTTACCAAAAATATATAGTATAAAAAATTTAAACATTTAAAGTATGTGTATTATAGTAAAAGAATCAGTTCTATAAAAAGAGCGATGGATTTGAGCACAGATCACCCACTGTTGAGTGCGAAAAACACTATTTCTATCTAGGTGCAATTCTGGGTGAGATTTATATAAATATATAATATAAAAAAGATTAATTCAAACAAATAAAATGAGAAAAAAATACACGTAATAAATATATTTTCAACTGAAGCACGTATATGTTTTCACAAGAATATATGGTAAAAACATTTAAACGTTTAAAGTATGTGTATATAGTAAAATGAGTAAATAAATCATCTCATTGAAAAGAATTTGAGCACAGATGACCCTCTGTTGAGTGCGGAAAACACTAAAACAAAGGTAAGCACATTTGTTCTGTGTTTACCCCACAATATTATGAAACATTAGAGCTTTGAAGAACTATAGAATTTCAACATTATTATATTCTCGTTACATTCATTTATATTTAGTAGGATTATTTTAACTAAAAATTTAATTATAAAATTTAAATTGAGTTTTATTTTCTAAATCAACATTTTTCATCACTGCTTTGGAATATATTCAATATTTATTATTCATCTAATTTTTTTTATTATTTTTTTTAATTTTATAATATTCAACAGATTTTACATCTATTTAGGATATTTAGTATTATTATATCAAAACAATATTTTTTTTCAAAAAAATCTCATAATCCGTTATTAAAATTTCAAATCAAATTCGATTTTGCATACACTTTATATCACAAGTAATCTTTTAGTATCCTGCGCGACCGGAATAATAATTTAATAAATTTATATTCATTAAATCAATTTGTCTTGTTTTTTTCTTTATTTTAAAGTCGACGATGTTGCAAGGTCGGAACCTAACGGTACACTGGCGTTTTTCATGAGCTGATCGTATCGGGTACCCTCCGAGCAACAATATTACAATAATGAAATTGAAACTGCGAAAATTAAAAAGCGCTCATTGTTGTCTTCGCCGTACTGTGCGAAAGGGAAAATTTACAAGAACGCGTGTGAATTTTTATATATTATCATATATAAATATATACATTTACGGGACCATAATATTGTGGGCTTATAGATGGAGAGTCTGCCGACTTCTTCAAAAATATTTAGCCATTCCATACTTTTTTCTCTTGCACTATGTTTATTTGAAATCAGTAACTAAAAATTTCAGATATGTGTACATGTTGAATAAAAACAATATAAGTTTAGTTTTTTACCAAATAATCATGTTTGTTATTATTAAAACGTTCTTTCTTTCAAATAATCAATACAATTTCCAATTGATGTCTCTCAAAAATACCTACTTATAATATCTGTAATTGTATATAGTGAATTAATTTTTTTAATCAATTTCAGTAGACACTTACGAAACATAGAACGTACTTGTGCTTTGGCATAGATTCTGATTAGAATCGCTCAAGATTAGAATCTAATTAGAATCGCTTCATTCTGATTAGAATCAAGTACGCAACAAAGTTCTAATTTTTGATGATTTTTTATAATTTAATTGCTTATCATAGGCCTATAACATTCTACTATGTTATTTTAGACTGCAAAATCTATCCTTAAACAAAGTTTCATTAAAATGAACAAACAAATATTTTTAACATTTAATTATGACGAAACCAAAAAACTAATCAATGCGATTCCCAACCAATTATCTTTGATTAAACCAATATTTTTTGTTTTTGTCAAGATCAAAATAGTGTTTTCATATTGTCATTCATAATTACTAAATTTTTTACTAAGCACCAGAATAGAATAAAATTTTAAAATTTAGAGCAGATATGAATTCCTTACAAGTTACATAAAACATTCACCAACTATCACTCTATAAATAAAGAACATTAAAAACTCATTGAATGAGAGTATTTCGGTAAAGCTTTAACTAGTGAAATTTTCTACCGATTACGATACTATCACAAAAATTACAAATAAGCATGTGAATTTGGTGAATTTATCCATTGTTGAAAGTTCATGCACAGTTTTTGTTATATTAAAATATTTTGAACGTTCATGAACTTGATATTTATGATTCTTTTATTCAAATTTAATTATGTGAATGAGTAGAAGTAATGGACAAAGATATAGATAAAGTTTTGCGTTGAATAAAATAAATTTACAAATTCGTAATATATTAGTATGTAACTACTAAACAGCATTAATGATAATTAGAATCTACTTACGGGGCGTTCATTAATCACGTGATCAATTTTTTGAAGATTTTTGGATCCAAAATTACTCCCCCTCCCCCGGCAAACATCACGTTTCAGTTGTAATTTTTTGGTATTTTTTTTAATGCTTGTATTTCTTTTAAAAAAAATCAGGTAAAAAATAAATTAACGTGATATTCTACTATAGCCCCACCCTCTCTCTCACGTGATATTTTGTAATTTTTTGTCAACCCCCCTCCCTCCTTCTAAAAACCCCACGAAATTTATGGACACCCTTTAGTGCTTTGAAATTTCTAATTAGCTTAATGTTTAAAATGTAAAAAAACCTTAATATACTCAAATGTTTAATAATAAATTAAATTTAATAAATTTAATTTTATTTATTAAATAAATAAATTTAATTTTAATATAAAAAATATTTTTTACATTCCGCCGAATGATACAATGGTCTTAAATGATGTTTTTTAAGGAAATCTCAAGGTGGCTTAAGAAAATATATATATCTAAACGAACTGAAAAGTTTTCAACCAAAATTTTGTTGTACCTTTTTGATTTATGTCCCTGTTCATTTAGTAAAAAATCTTTGTTTATTTATAATTTTAATGTTATGAAAAAATAAATAATATTCAAAATATTAACCATTAGAAATAAAATTCTTTTAAGATTTGAGTAACTAACTATTTTTGTATCTATATTTCCGGAATGTTTTATCAATTCTTATATAGATTATAAGTATTTATTTAATGCATTCATAATTTTCTTACTAAATTGCTCATACATGACGGATTTTCACGTAAAACCATTATATAAACAACAATTTTATTATCAAAACAATATCATTAACGTCTGCAAAATATTGATAATGGTATATGCACAAGCACGCGATAAAGTCAATGTTTAGTCTTTTATAGAAACACGAACAATTTAATTAATCATGGTAATTAGAAATAAAGCTTATTATAAATTGCTCATTATTAGCTAGTCAGTTGAAAGTTATATGTATGTATCTGTTTTATATTTTTTGTACTTAAATTTTATGAAGTATCAATACAATGTCCTCCTTTTCATGAAATTAACATAATTTAGAAATTGGATATTATGATTGCACTTAAGATATTATTGAACTCGACTTTTTTACATTGATATTGAAGAAGTTGTCCAATTTATAATTTCCTATTTACATCATGCAATTTTTTATTTGATGGTTCAAAAAAACTTAGAGCAAAAATTGTATATCTTATAATGATTATAGGTGATTGTAAAAA